CCCCCAAACCCCCCCCCCCAGCCTTTCCTTCAAACCCCGCTGAGTACCTCAGACCACTCTCTGTCTCTTTCTGAGATACTCACAGGGCCTCCAAACCCAGCAAGTCCTCCTCTCAAAATCTTCGTGCAATCCCTGGAGTCTCAAGTCCTTCCCATTTCAGATCCCACTATCTTGAGTCCTCCCCTAAGCCCCCTCCCTAAATTCTTTATATGACACCTGCCCTAACCCCCTCATCAAGCTCACTTCTGCAGATAGCTCTCTCTAGCCAACCTTGACCCACTCCTAACCATTAGATGTTCCTGGGGACACTCATAATCCGTCCAGTTTCCAGACTTTGTCCATCGCCACCACCTAGGCAGCATCTCCACCTCCCACCATGGTTGCTGTTGCCCCCTGCTGGAGATGGGGATAGGAACGACAAAAGTCAACATATCCTGCACTATTATGTGCCAGAAATGATTCAGAGGGCTTCACACATATTATTTCATTCAGTCTTCACAACCGCCAGATGAGGAAGCTCCATTACTATTCCCATATTATAGAGGAGGAAAATTGAGGCACAGAGAGCACTTGCCCAAGGTCACACACATAGTATGTGGCAGAACATGGGGTGAAGCAGAAAGAGGGTGAAAGAGGGTGAGGCCAGGTATAGGCTGGACAGGAGTGGAAAAGGAAGGGTGAGAAGAAAAAGCTAACAGAAACTGGGCTTGGTGGCTCATGCCTGTAATCTCAGCACTTTGAGAGGCTGAAGCAGGAGAATCACTTGAGGTCAGGAGTTTGAGACCGGTCTGGGCAGCAAAGCAAGATCCCATCTCTACTACTACTACTACTAATAATAATAATAGAAAAATTAACGGGACAAGCTGATGTGTGCCTGTAGTCCCAGCTAATTGGAAGGCTGAGGCAGGAGAATTGCCTGAGCCCAGGAGTTCAAAGCCGTGGTGAGCCATGATCTGCCAAACAAAAGATAATAAGAGAGACAGAGACAGACAAAGATGGGAAAACATAGAGCCCCTCTGACCCTGTGCACTCTGGCCCCTGCCAACCCTATTCCCAGCTTTATGGATGACTATTCTATTCCTCCAGCACACTGGCTAGTAGCAGCCCCTAGGCCTTTGCACTCTTTTCCCGTTCCCATGACTAGTTCCTTCTTTTCATTCAGGTCTTAACTCAAATGTAATCTCTTCAGAGAGAACTTCCTTTTCCATCCCAACATGCACACACCAAAGAGTTATGATGTTACTGTGAAATACATAAAAAATAAGATGGGTTGATGGATGGACAGATGAGTGAATATGTGATGATGATTATTATTATTATTTTTAGTCAGAGTCTCATTCTGTTGCCCAGGCTGGAGTGCAGTGGTACGCTCACAGCCACCACATCCTCTACGTGCTGGGCTCAGGTGATCCTTCTGCCTCAGCCTTCCAGGTAGCTGGGATTACAGGCATGCGCCACCACGCCCAGCCAATTTTTTTTTTTTTTGTAGAGACAAGATCTCACCAAGTTGCCTGGCTGGTGTCGAACCCATGGATTCAGGCAATCCTCTTGTCTCCATCTCCCAAGGTGCTGGGATTACAGGTATGAGCCACTGTGCCCAGCAGATATGTGATTAAACAAGAACAGAGAAACATGAGTGGTAGCATCTAGGTGGTGGGAACATGGGTGTTTGCTAATAAATTATTTCAACTTTAAGCCGGGCTCGGTGGCTCAGCCTGTAATCCCGCACCTTTGGGAGGCTGAGGTGA